AGATGTTCACTATAACGCAATATTTTTTTTAATTGATAGATAAAAGATTTAAAATTTTATTTCATTGATTACAAAATAATATTTATTTTAAAACAATGCAAGAAGTATCGTTAAAAATAAAATGTATCTATCTTAATTTTAAGCTACTTTTAGCAATGTTTCAAAAAATCTATCATTTTGTATTTAAAATCAATAATATTTTAAATAATAATACGTGTATTAACTAAAAATTATTTATTTTACTAATAAAAACATCTTTATATTTAGAAATACTACTGCAAAATAAATAAAATTTAAAATAAAAATACCTCTGAACACTTGAATGGACTGGAGTAATTTAAAATATCCTTTAATTTTTTAAGGATTGTTGTCTATAGATTATAATCTATATATAGATTATAATCTTAAACAAAACTTTATATTTAAATACTTATGGATTATTCAAAATTGAGCCAAACTTACTGAAGGGCCAAAGTATACGTTGTATCGTTTCTAGGTGGTGCAGTAAGCAAAACAATTTAGGTTAGAAAATAAAAAAACAAACGTTGAACAAACACATTTATTTTGTTTTTAATACAAGAAAAATCTAAAATGTATAAATTATTATAAATTAACGGAGGGAACTTAATTATTATTATCGACATATTTTTCATTATAAATAATTTGTAATATTATGGGCATAGTAGAAAAGCAATTACCAATTTTATAAAATAATTTAGGGCTATTGCCAATGAACTCCACCCTATATGAATCAAAATTAATGTTATACCCCAAAGTGTGTAACAAAATTACTTCTGAAACAAAATCTTTTTAAATGTCATAAAATAAGTTAAGTTTATTAACTTAAAATTATAGAGCCATACAAATCAGAGTTTTAAACACATAAGATATTTTGGTTATCACTGCAAATCCTATTTATTTATGAATAAAATAATTTTAAGGCATCCTTAATATTTAAAAAATAAACCTACCTACCTACACGTAAATGAGACGCTAAATTTAAAAAAGGGTGGTATAACAACTTACTTACCTTCAATTTTTTTTATAAGTTCCTTTAATGCTGAATAATTTATTAATGAAATACGCCCTCTCCCTCACAAAGAGAAAGAAACACTGCATGATTAGGCATAAAATTTCAGAGGAACGTGTCGGCATCTCCACTCCTACACGATTTCAAAAATATGTATTCTTGGCAAAAGAAAATACTGTTTATTAAAACGAATGAAGAATATCTAATTCTTAATATAAAAAAATTAAACAAATAAAAGAAATAAGAATATCTTATTCTTGATATAAAAAAATATTAACAATTGTACCAAGAAACCAACTAAGATTTCCTTAAATTTATTATCGAATTTTGACTTATTTTGTTACAGAAAATCTCAATCCGCATCTCGTATGCTCTAAGGTAACGGCGCTCTCTGGCGCTTCGAGTCCCGCGGGCGACATTCATCATATATTTGTACGTATAAAGGTTAGAAAATTTATGACGGGCATAGGAGACATCGGGACCCGTGTATTTATGTCCCCAAAAAAGTTCACTTTGTCACCGACATTTGTTTCAATTTAAAAAGCTTGCCAACATAAATTCAACAAAGGGTTGTTTTTTAGCGAATGATTAACATAATGGCTATACAGGGTGTTTTACTTTCGTGAATCATAAGTAGACTATAGGGTCATTCCATGACAAACGATACTGAGGGTGAAAAAATAAATATGTTCTTTTCGCATTTAATCTGATGAATTTTGAAAGAAACCATTTCAAATTATAATGTGCAAAAAAAAACTGTCAATCTGTCAACCGTTTTGCCACGTTGTAATTTGAGATTATTTATCGTAGTATTGGTGGATTGCGTCACAGTCCCGAAAAAATTGATACTTACCACGTTATAAGTGTGTTTTCTTCTTACTTTGCCACTGTAACACCCGAAACGAAAAATCATGTAATTGTTTTATTATAATACCTTACAGATTGATTTGTGTAATAATATTTAGTAAAATTAACGTTATGGTGGTAATGATTTAAAATACTAACTAATATCTGAGCATGAGACTAATTTGATATGTTTTTTTCTTGATTAAAAACTGTAACACACGAAACGTTTCGGGTGTCACAACTTTTTTCATGTATGTGTATTGCTTGAAGAATGCAATAAGTATTATTTTTAAGGCTCTTTCGACGGCCCACTAGCGCTGCCATCGGAAAAGCAGTCACACCTTTTTTAAAGAGGTGTGACTGCTTTTCCGATGGTGTTGTCGAACCTACCGAAATTTCGGTATTTCTACCTAAATGGCAACGGACCTACCAAAATACCGAATACTTAGATTTTCGTCAATAATTATGTTTCTACCGATTTTTGTCAATAATAACGACTTTACCCTTTTTTGTCGATTTATCAAGTTATGTATAAGGAGAATTCATTATATTTATGTTTATTTCTAACTAACTTATTTTGTAGTACCCAAAGACTAATAAAACACCGATTTTGTCCATATAAAGTGTTTAATTTTTGTACTTGTAACACCCGAAACAGAACCATGGTAACACCCGAAACATAGTAAAATTATATAAAAAAAATAGTAAAACGTTATTTGTGACAGTGATTATGTGGTAGATGGTTAGTAAATATTATACTTTTGGAGGCCTGTAATTTTTAGGAATGTTTTCCTAAGAAAATTCGCTGAATTTCAAATAAATGTTACAATGGTCAGGACATAGAGGCAGAATCGTGAAACACCCGAAACGCACACTTTTTGACTTATAAAATCGTTATCCTATATGCTATATATGTACTTATTTTACAATTTATATAAAACAACTAAAAACGTACAGAATAAGGCACTTTAATTGCTAAAATGTTATTTCAAAATACATAAAATTTGACTTTGGTTGAAAAAATGTAACACCCGAAACGATGGAATGACCCTTTACTAAGTTGTTACAGTTACGCAATATTTGTAGTTACTGATTGCCATTTTTTATCGGTAATTTTGCACCACGAATGTGAAACATCCTGTATACCTAGTCTTTATAAATCGGGGTGGTTTTTTGTTTCGTATCATTATAATACTTAACGATTACTTTAAAAGTAAGGGTGGAATATGGGGTTTTAGGGAAATACAAAAAGTTAAATATTATTTTTTTACATTATTGAAATTAAATTATAATATTAAAACAAGTTTGGGATAAAATTAAATTAAAACAAGGGTTGCTATTCATATTTGAATAACGTTATGCAATAGAAAACCAACCTTAGACAATAAAAGAAAGAGGATTTGTGTAGTGTGCTTAGAGATCTAAAAAACGGTTTTTTTTCAGATGTGAAAAAAACATGAAAAAAAACTAGAAATAAACGGTTGTTGTTTTTTTTCAAATCCGCTACAATAAAGCATATTCTGTCAATAAATAACATCAATCTTAAAAAATTAAATAATTTTTCAAAATAAAATTTTGGGTAAAATGTATATTAGGTAATAATAAATTGAAATGTAGAATATATTACATTTTTCATTATTGAAAATTTTGACCGAGACTAAAAAATCTGATTTCTTATTATTTGGTAGTTTCCACATAAGAAACCAATATTAATGTAAAACTTCTACACTAATAGAAAAAATTAAAGGATAAAAAAAAATTCCAAATTTGTTGCGATTTTTCGGATTGGAGCCATAAAAAAAGCAATTTGAAGTTTGAAGTTTCTAGTTTTGAGCAATCCTAACGAATACCGTAATAAAAAAAATCGAAATTTTTTGGCTTTCTTTTTTGGTCCACGGAACGTTCTGACTTATACCAACCACCAATAAATAAATGTTCTACAAGAAGACAAATTTAATGCCACTTAATTTTTTTCTTTGGGGTTATTTAGAAAGTCTACAAAACACAACCTGAGTGAGTAAGTAAGAACTATACTATATTTTACTATAACTAAAAAGTTATTAAGGGTGGCTAGTTTTTAAGTGAAAGTCCTGTATATATTGAAAAACATTAAAACTGTTTTTGCAAATTTGAATTTTAAAATATAAATAACTAAAAATAACTTTTCCTGATAAAGTTTGTTCTTTAGTAGAAAATACATTTTTACACACGAAACACAAAAGTCGGAAAGATAGCGCACTCGTCCTCTAAACAATACGTTTCATTTCATTTCAGATACAATCTTTATTCTTCCCTTAAAGAGGGTCCATGTTCCGGTAAACATATCAATAAAAATTGTGTCAGTTATCTGTTTGCCGGAAAAGCGAAAAGAAAAACGCCGGGGACGAGATAAAACTTTTACGTTTAATTTCCTACTAACATTTTTATACCAAATTTGGACGAAATAAGGTGCCCTTAAACTAAAGTAGTCGACTCTCTTCATAAAAAATTATTAGCGACAGGAAACAATATTTTAGCTTAAAAGAGTATTTATTGCTTAAAGAAAAAATCTCTTGAATGTTTCTTTTTTCAAAAGTGCAAAGTGTTTTTGTTTAAAAGCTATGAAAATTATTTATATTTACGCAATTCATTCAATAGCATGTCAATTTTACAACAAAGCTTCTGATACATGGGAGGGGATGCAAAACAGGACACCGTTTGCGGCACACGTGTTTAGTACGTTTTGTATCATTGCAACTTACAATTCGCCATTTTCTAGGGGCAGTGGTATAATATTATAATTCTATTAAAGGTATTTCAAAAATACATTTTGCCGGTTGTGTTGTGGCGTGTTGTATTTAAAAAAACATTATTATTTTTTCCCAACAAGGTTTTTTCTTAACTGGAGGTACTCCCAAAGTCGGATTTTTTAATAAATTTTTAACCTGAGCCCCAACCACTTTTTTATTTGAAACCTACAATGTTTCTGATTTTCTCTTTCAAGAGAAATATAGGATTTGAACATTGATAAAACTTTTTCAAAAAATCTTGGACATACTGTAGTATTTTTTTGTTTCCAAAACACGTGTTTAAAACTTAGTTGTCAAATGTCAAACTTTGACATAAATAATAAATGACTCAATCAATATGTGGAGTCCTTACGTCAAGAATGTAAAATCCTTGTACAAGAGGGCCTGCAGGTTGGTGGAAGCGTGGTACGATCGAAGAGATGTCGTACGGTACGAGTTAACATTGTTAAGAGCTAAATTCGACGCTAACGCTTGTGTGGTAGATCCCGAGGAGAAGAAAATGTTGGTTAAAAGGGGCGAGGAGGAGCTGTTTTTGAAGCAACATTGGCATTTGAGGAAGTTCGTCAATTCGCCAGGTAAATACGACGTGTGTTCAGAAAATAACGGGAATTGTTAAATTACGCGGGTTCGGAGGGTCCGGTTGTCATAAAATTTTCTTTATTATGTTGGTATACATGCCCCCGAAGTATGATAAAAACTTTAGCTGTTTTCATTGTTTACTTTGTCAGTGGCAGCCGCTAAGGTTAGACGTGTTTTATGAGCACGGCGATTTTTCGTTCATTAAAAGAAATGGATCAAAGAATTTGTATCCAAATTTGCTTAAAAAATAAAATAAATTCTGTGAAATGTTAACAAAGGCCTAAAGTGAGTCTGCTATAAGTAAAACAAGAGTTTACAAGTGGTTTAAGAGTTTCCAAGATGGCCGTGAAGACGTTGAAGATGACGAACGCCCCGAACGCACAAGCACATAAACAACCGATAAAAACATGGAAAAAGTGGAAGAAATGGTTATAAACCATCAGAGAAGTCGCTGATGATGTTGATCGATTGGCTCATCCCATGAAATTTTTTCGAATGTTTTGGGTATGAAACGCGTGGCAGAAAAATTTGTTCTAAAATTTTTAAATTTTGAACAACATTTTTGGCCAAAAACAATACTGTAATGATGCCCCAGCCTCCATATCCGCCAGACATGCCTCTGTCTGACTTTTTCCTATTCCCAAAAATAAAGAGAACCTTAAAGGGCCGTCGTTTTGCAAGCATAGATGACATTAAAAGCGCATCGCTGAAAGAACTAAAGGCTATCCCAAAGATCGAGTTTTAGAAGTGTTTCGAGTATTGGAAGAAGAGCTTCCCGATATTTTCAGAACAAACCTCGTAATTATTATTTATCCTGGAAGTTCTTGTATGCACACGTAGGGTCATTCCATGACAAACGATACTGAGGGTGAAATAAAAAAGGTGATGAATTTTAAAATTAACAAAGATTTTTTTACTGTGTAGGTGGTGTTGCCTATGAAAGAGAGGTGCAGAGTCCTGACTGGGTTTTGGATTATTGGCACCCTCTGGAAAAAATGCAGTACCCCGAATATTTCGCGCGCAGAGAACAAAGAAAAATCGAGTATGTCAAATTTTGGACTAAAATGTTCAGTCCAGGAGGCGATAATGGTGGCCATTGTGATACAAAACCTCCTCCTAAAGGGCGAATTACCGAAGAAAGTACAAAAGACAAGGACGAAGATGACAGTTGTGCCAACCAAAAGCATTATTATTGATTCAGTTTTAGTTAAAATGTATTTTTGTTGAATACAAAATACGACGTATTGTAATGACCGAAACCTATTTACTTAAGGGTCATTCCATCGTTTCGGGTGTTCAACCAAAGTCTAAATTTTTATGTATGTTGCCATAACATTTTAGCAATTAAAGTGCCTTAAGCCTGAATTATAGATTGCCTTCCTTCCTTCCTCCCGTACGATTTGTGCGTCTTGTAAAAAGTCAATTTATAGATTTGTAAAATTCCGTAACCATGCGCGATGACATCTAAAATGGTTGACATTTGTTTTTGTTTATATTCTGCGTTTTACCTATTGTGTGTAAATATGAAAGATAATCATTTATATATTAGTGCAGTGATCACAATTTTAATTGCCCAGGCAGCTTGTTGTATACTGCCGAACTATGGAGAAAGGCAGTAACTGCTAAACAAGAAATTTGTGGGAAATTAGCATAAACTACATTTTTATAAAAAGCAGTAGGTATTTAACTGACTTATTTAACTTAAAAGATAGTTTACTGCATTTCTTTGTTGAATTAAGATACAAAATGCCCATAGCTTTATCATAGCACAAGAAAACGCATTTGAAGTTACTGCCTTTTTCCATAGTAGGGCAGTATAATGAAAAAAAACATCGAACAAGTCGTTGGAAGACTCGCCCACTTTACCAAGACCGGGAAACTACAGGGTTTTACAAAGCAACGTTTCTAAAAATGAAAGACATTGATCATAAACAATATCTAAATAACTTATTTAGAGACACAATATAAATAATACTAAACAATCATGTATACATAGTTTGGTCATTACAAACATGGGTCTTAGTTTCTATATTATGTATTTGCCACAACTTACGCATATTGGTTAGAAATAAGAACATTTTTCTGTGACAATATTGGTCAATTAGTTGTTACTTTGCCATTAATTTAAATGAAATTAAGTTGTAAACAACTTATCATATTAAATATAAGATTATTAAAATATATCATTTTGACACAAAGAAATCAGTTTTTACCAAATATTTATTTGTTTAAAATATTTTTTGGTAGGGATGCTAGCAAACGCAAGGCAGTCATTGTGAAACAAAGAACTTCTTTGTTACGAACAAGTGTATGAAATACATGCAGTACATAATTTTACGCAGATAAAAATGCAGTGTGTGTTGAGTGAACTATTAATGGTGAGTACTTATTTATTTAAATGTCACTTGTCCATATAATTTTAAGAAAAGTAGGAAGGCCCCCTGTATCTATATAAAAATTGGCAAAAAGGACAAAATATCTTGTGTAACCATCGAAAAATATTGCCACAATTTTTATTAACTATAACTTATCGTGTAATTAATTATCCCATTTATAATAAAATGATATTTAAGTAAATTTCATTCAATTACAGAAGGACATAAAACTATTATTCTTTTTAATCAGGACTAATTTATTGACTTTTGTTACCTTTTTATATTTTATGTATAGGTTGGTACATGATTACTGAAGTATGAGATAACTTTTTGAATATTTTTTGTTTAAAATGAGTTAGCTAGTTAAGATTTTGTTTTGTATTCTTGTTTTATTTTTTTGGTTAAAAATATTTTTATATGTATACATAATATTATTATACTCTATATTATACTTTGTATTTTGTTATAAATATTATAAAATAAAATTGTTTTATTGAATTTATTTAGATTTTCAATAACCAGCCTCTCCTGCATTTAATAGTTATTTATGTATTAAGGGCATAATAAGGTTTTTATGGTCCGAGGCGCTATTTCGAGCCCGAGCGCGTTAGCGCGAGGGCTAGAAAAGCGTCGTAGGACCATAAAAACTAGTTATGCCAGCAATGCATACAAAACTTTATGCACGATTAATATATTATTATTTTTAATATATTATTGTTTTAAAGACGTTTACGTCAAAGAATTTTTGTTATAATTGTCATATTATAATGTCAACTGACATCAGTCAGTGTTAAAGTTTAAATATTAATGAAATTGAGGAAGCAGCTGAAAAGGCGAAAAATTGTGGCCTGCTGCCGGAAAAATCAAAATCTTTATACGAAAAAACTTACTTCGAATATATCAAATGGTGTAACATTGTTGTTTTTAATTTTTGACGTTTCATTATAGCCCGCTGGGCCATAATAACGCCCGCGGGCTATAAAAAGACGTTTACGTCAAAGAATTTTTGTTATAATTGTCATATTATAATGTCATAGTGCATAAATAATTTTATTGCAAATAAAGGGCTTATTCCTGACAATGAAATTTTCGTTTTGGGTAAATTAATTCTGTCGTGATAACAAGTTGCTTTTTTGTGACGAAATTATTGTTGTGTTGCAATAAAGCACATGCGTTTATCCCAAATAGGTGCATGTTTAATACAAAGAAATGAAAAATTTATTAGAAATAAATATTTAGTTGCAAGAACATAATCTGCTATTTGTAAAGAAATGTATGCATTTACGTAAGTAATTACTTGCATTAAGTCTATATTAGTTGCGCAATATACAACCACAGGATTAGTTTACCTAAAATCAATTTCGTTTCTCTCAAACTTAATTTCATTTAAATTAATGGCAAAGTAACAACTAATTGACCAATATTGTCACAGAAAAATGTTCTTATTTCTAACCAATATGCGTAAGTTGTGGCAAATACATAATATAGAAACTAAGACCCATGTTTGTAATGACCAAACTATTTTATCGGTGATATTATAAATATTTTCTGCCTACGCGCTGTCACCCTACAGCGCATGTCCATAACAAGCACTGTGAATGGTCATGTCAAAGACCTTTACGGTGAAAGATAAAACTTAAAAATTTCTACGGGAGGAAGGAATGCCGTCCTTACGGTACGAGAATCTATAAATGGCACTACGATTTAAATAAACATTTTTGACGTAATTGTCACCATTAACATTGCCCGGTATTAATTTTAATTAAACTTAACAATTATTGATACTTTAAAATATTAAAATAACTTCAAAATATGATTTTTTAAGAAAATATTTTATTCTTTGATTTTTTTTTCTACACGGGAAATGTTAATGGTGGCAATTACGTAATGTCCATCTTCTACGGGAGGAAGGAAGGAAGGAAGGCAATCTATAATTCAGGCTTAAAAAACAAAATAAAATATTTTTGTGCGTTTTCTGGAGCCACTTTAATTTGGTTAAATCGATGTGAGTTCCCAGGACTACGTCAGTTGCTTGTCATTATCGATCGAAGTTTGGGAGCAAAGGGAGCAAATTTCGTATACATCTTCCCGAGTTAATAATAATAAAACTAGACAATCGTCATTTAAGTGGCACACAGATGTTTCAGATTTTCGTCCTGTTACGTCGAAAGAAAAAGAAAAACTTTCACTGCTCCTCCATCCCGTTCCGACTCCCCGACTAAATTAAATAAAACACAAAAACAGACACCTGCATGCGATTAGCGTAAGCCTCAGCGGAGACAAGGAAAATTCCATTTGTCACTGTCATTTAGCGATAATTCACTTAATTAGTGAAAATTAAACGAATGAGACTTGATGTGTTGAAATCCTTAAGGCTTTTCCAGCTTTACATACATTTTAGGGGTAGTTAATAATAGGTTTAGTAACTACGACTTTGGTTTGAGAAAAAACATGCAAATGGTTTCATTAAGTGATCACCGCGGGTTTATATATATTATATATATATATTATATATTATATTATATATTATATATATATGGGTCATTTTTAAGAAACACCCGCTTTGAGGAAAATGAGAATCAAATTTTTTTTTTGCTTAAATTGACTTTTGGTTGGATTTTTATAAATGTTTAGAGTTTTGTTTACTTACATTTAAGACAGGCAGTGCACTTTTTAATTTTTTTTACGTTTTTTTCAGAAAAATGTGTTTAACTAGCTTTATATATCTCCACTGTGTTACCAATTTGAAATCCAAAATTTAATTCAATAAAAAAATAATTTGAAATAAAAATAAAACTTTTGACTCCAATTTTTTATTTTATTTTTTATTAAAAATTGTGTGCTTTTTTTTAAATATGTATGTTCGTTAAGTTACTTTTTAAAAAAAACCATTCAGATTCTTTGTTAAAAAAACAACACCATTAATATTTTCTTTTAGTCACTGTATTAGTGAATTAAACTCTAATTTATAAACACGTATTACCAAGTGATAGTGTATAAAAATCATTTTAAGTATTTTTTTTAACAAAAACTAAAAAAGTAACGAAATAGACATTGGTAACGGACAGGGGTACACAAAGAAACTATATAGGGTGGTACGATTTTAGAGTAATGCTTAAACAAAATCCCTTGTAGTGGTGCTCACTTGCAGAATAACAACTTAGATTTCTAAATTGTAGACACCCTTTTTCTTTGACTATAAGCTGGTAAAGGTCCCTTTTAGTACTTTTATATTGCGTGAAATTTTTCCTTGGATGTAATCTATTTCATGAGTTGTAATTACAAATAATTTTAAATTGGTTAATCATAAACTACTTTTAATAAAAGCGACGGTAAATATCCACTTTGTTGTCGAAAAATTCTATTGCGTTACCCTAAATTCCATTGCGTTACCATAATGTAATATAGTGGACTCGGTAACGCAGTGGACAAAGTTTTGTAAAACCATATTTAAAAAATATTAATAAGATATTATAATCATTAATTACTCTCATAAGGTTTAGTGCCCCAAAATAAACATAAACATGAAAAATAGTATTTTTTTCTTATAAGAAAAAATACTATTTTTCATGTTTATGTTTATTTTAGGGCACTAAAGCTTATGAGAGTAATTAATGATTATAATATCTTATTAATATTTTTTAAATATGGTATACCTTATTTTTTTTTTTTTTTGAGTAACTTAGCGGGCAAACAGTTATTACATTCGCGTTACCCGCATCTGTTTCAACCGATATCTTCTTCCTGATTAAATAAATACATTCGGCTGGTTAATGTGTACGTCCGAACATCATTTGTGGATCACGTGAGTGCCAAAAAAGTTGCCATATATATGTTTTTTTTAATATTCTATCGGTAACGCGACGGACGTAACGCAACGGAAAAAATG